AGCGCCCCCGCGCCCCGCGCCCCGCCGCGCCTCGGGCTCGCTCGCGGCCGCCGGGGCTCGCCTCCAGCGCCAGCGTGGACCCCCCGGCTTTGTGTCTGTCGGTCTCGGCGTGTTTTGTCCCGGTTCAGACTCCTCTAAAAGACGGCAGGGAGGAACGGGAGGCGGACACCGTCGCCTCGCTCCACCTCCTTGACAGGGGTTTTCCTTCTTCTCCTCCCCTTTCCCTCTCCGGCTCTCCGCGGCCCTCTCTCCTCCCTCTTCCCTCCCTCTCGGCGCTCGGGTCTCCGGGTTTCTCTCGGGTGTCACGTTACTGCCTCTGACCGGGGAGCGGGGCGGGGGGCGGCGATTATTCGCCACGAGGAAGAAAGTTTCTGGGTGTTTTTCTCCTTCCCCCTTTCTCTACAGTCTGGCCTCAGTTTCTGCGCCACCAGCGACCTCTGGGGGGCCCCGCTGACTTCCCTCTCTTGTAAACAGTCACCGGCAGGAAGAAGCACGACTTCTTTTACTATATGGTTTTTGTTTTTGTTTTTTTCATTTCAGGAACTCAATTCTCCTTCTGGATCCCGAGCTGCCTACAAAAGGCCGGTTAAAAAAAAAAAAAAAAAAAAAAGGTACTTGGGTATGTGTTCGAGACTTGACTGAGATGGTCCAAGAGCAAGTGGCCCCTGGGGCCACGCTCCTCGCTCCGACTGCTGGTAGAGAAAGGAAAGCTTTCCCCTTGCTCACAGAGCCCCTCATCCACGTAGCGCCCAGAGAGGCAAGGCGGTGGTACAGGGCGGACTCCGGGAGGTCCTTCCTCTAGCCGATAAGGCGGGGAAGGGCCCTTAGGTACCCACTTCATCGCCGCCTCCCTCCCTTCCTTGGGAAGTTTCTGGACCTGAAAGAGAACCTCCCAAGGTAGAAAAGACCGCATCCAACACCGATCTGGTGATGGGGGTGGGCGATGCACGAAAAGGGCTGCTCTCATCAGCCACACTTTCAGCAAGAATCATTTACTGCTGGAGACGAGCTGTACCACTTGAGGCTCAAGGGACTTGCCCCAAGACACAGAGCTTCTAGGAGTCCGGTCAGGAGCTGCACTGAAGTCTGTCTGACTCTCCAGCCCACTGTACTAACCACTGCCCTGCACTGTCTCCCAGCCCGGGCCCTTTTCTCTTAATCTGCACAGTGATTGGAGGAAGAGATAAAACTCACTCAGCCCAGGCCACCTTGAGAAAGGATGCCCTGGGTTTTTGGTGCCTCTCACTGCAACATTCCAGTAGCAGCCAGCCAGTTGCAAGAAAGAATCAGGAGCCAGGGACCCCTCTGATTCTAAGACCGTTTTCCCGAAAACCTTTTTAAGGTGGGTATCTGAAAACTGTTCTATGGACAATAAGAGGATCCTAAGGTGAGGAACTTATAATTTAAGAATAATACGATTTAACCATAATCCATGCGTACCTCTCATTCCTGATTTGAAATGGGTGAAGAAGACACCTAGATCTTAAGCTGGAGAGAGTTATGGATGAGGCGGGTAGTGTCACACATGCACACACACAAATTCTACCTCCCAGTTCTCTGCCCTAGCCCACCTTCTCAGGGATCGGGAGGCTGCTTTGGGGTCCAAAGGGAAGTCCCCTTGTTCTGTCACCGAAAATCCTACGCTGTTCGTGGTTTATTTCACATTTATTCTATGAATCAGAGATTTATTTGGATTAATATGCACATTTGAGATATGTGAATGCCCCTGAGAGAATTAAGGCAATCAGTCATTGCCCATTAATGCGAATTACTTTAAACACCACACTGAGTAGCCCAGAATAGGCGCCCAATTAATAATTTTTTAGTCCATGAAGAGGGACTGAGGGTTGGAAGAGCAAAGCAGTGTTGATAACGTCTCAGAGACCCCCTCTGACAAATCGGACCTGTACCTGCGGCCTGATCCCGTAATATGACGGTTTTTCATTAGATGTAAGATACTGTGCAAGGTTCTGCGGGCTCGCAAGGCCCAGAAACTTCTCTCACAGAATGGGTTGGGAAACCTTCCAATTCTTTCCCCTCAACAAAGAAATCTGAGCAAGAATGAGGTTATGACGGGGAAATGAAGCAGGCAGGAAGGAAATAAACATCTGTAAAAGTAAGTAAATATGGGAATAAGAGGGTTTTGTTTTTTTTCCAGTTGTGAAAAAGTTTTGAGGCAAGCACAAGGAGGCAAGGGCCCAGCTTAGAAGAAACAAGCTGTGACATGAAGAATTTTAGAAAGAAAAAACAGGTCAGTTTTTAAAAGGTTGCATTAACGGACTAATCGTCTTTAAAAAAACTCAGGAAGGGGAAAAAAAAATCAAGGTACAAAGAAGTTGTACGTGGGGAAAAAAAATGCCTTGCATTTTCACCTAACAAACACTTAGATTTGGGGGTAAAATTTTGCTCTGTGAAGTCTTGTAAATGTCCCATCCAAAAAACAAACAAACAAACTTTTAATCTCAAGTACTTACACTGATGAATGGTATCTTTATTCAAACCGGTTAATAAACCAACTAATTATGGGAATTTGTGAACAATTTTTATGGATAGTCTTATACTTAATATACTTTGTTTGGGGCGCCTGGGTGGCTCAGTCGGTTAAGCGTCCGACTTCAGCTCAGGTCACGATCTCGCGGTCCGTGAGTTCGAGCCCCGCATCGGGCTCTGGGCTGATGGCTCGGAGCCTGGAGCCTGTTTCCGATTCTGTGTCTCCCTCTCTCTCTGCCCCTCCCCCGTTCATGCTCTGTCTCTCTCTGTCTCAAAAATAAATAAACGTTAAAAAAAAAATTTAATATACTTTGCTTAACACCTCGAGTGTCTTGGGCTTCTTCATCCCTTTTCTCATCAGTGACTTTTCCTCTCTCTCATCGGAGCCCCTCATTTTCAGCAGGAGCCTCTCTGACCATCAGCAGCTGCCCTGCTTGGTTCCCCAAATGTCCACACTCTGGTGGCAATTTTTTCAGCCTTTTCAAGAACCCTCAGCTTTCAATCCATCACTCGTCTTGTGTGTTCACTTGCCCCTTTCCCCAGTTTAGATACCTGATCCATCATTGTGATCCCTGTCTTGCAGACACCCTTCGCCCCCTGGTTCCTTTCATTTTATATGCTACGGACTCATCTGGCAAAACCCTGCGAAGCCCGGCAGTGCCACTAGATTGGGCCACAGGACGACGCACAGTGTTGCTGACTGCTTCACTTTATGTTGGCCCAAATGACCAGCAGGGCCCGCCCGTTGCTGCCCAACAATCCCTTGCTCTAACGTGACTGCTTCTGTCTCTCTCTCTTCTCCCATCTGCACCTTGTATCTCTATTCCTTCAGCCTCAGCTGATGACTCATACTTTGTTGAGAAAATGGGAGCATTGGATAGGAACTCCTTCATTTCTCCACCAGTCTACACCCCACGCTCCCACCATCCTTCCTGTTTCTCTGTGTCCCTCCCTGCTTCAAGCAAGGCCAACTTGCCACTGGCCTGGAGTCTTGATTCTGCCCAAACCGAAAATCTTGCTCTCTTGCTAGCCTTCTGCATCTCTGCAATTAATGGTGCTATCAAGATGCTCGGAGCAAAACCTAGAAGTCTTCCTTAGGGTTTCTCTTCCCCTCTCACCCCTGTGTCTAACCCGTCTGCAAATCCTAAAGGCTCTGAATCTGACTTGCTTGGCTACCACTCTGGTCCACCACCTCTCTCCCCTGGAGGACTGCAGCGGCCTCCTATATAGTTATGTTTAGGTTCAGCTGCGTATAACTAAAAAATCCCAAATAGCGATGGCGTGGGCAATATGGGAGGGCACATCTCTCTCCTGTGAAACAAGTCCAGAAACAGGCAGTGCAAAGTTGATGAGGCATCCCGCTCTCACCAGGGACCTATCGGAGCTTTCTGTCCCACCATCCTCATTTGAAGGGTCACCTTACGAGTCACGATGTCCACTGCAGCTCCAGCCATTATGTTTACATTCCCGGCCGGTCACAGGAGGAAGCAAAAGAGGAAAAATGCCTTCTCCCAATGGAGTAAGTTCTTTTTATGCAGCGTTCCAAAAATGCTACCAATCATCTTCTTACAGTTCTTTGGCCAGAACGTAGTCACAGGACTATGGTCCGGTTCTGAGAGAGAGCCAAGAAATAGAGATTTCAGCTGGGCACAGGGCTGCTACCAGAAAAAAATCAGGGTTCTAGCACTAAAATAAGAAAGGACAGGTGGTGATTAAGTGGCAACCAGTAGTCCTGGCCATAACTCCTTCCTGCTCCCAGCTTTTCACTGGATACTCATCCCCCACATAGCAGACGGAATGTAACTTACCTGCTCTAAACTTGCCCACGGCCCCCAAAACACTCAGAGGCAAAGCCAAAGTCATTTCTGTGCCCTACAAGACCCTATGCAATCTGGCCCCATTGTCTTCCTGGCCTCATCTCCGATCATTTTCCCTACTCCACCTGCCCCATCGCTGTTCACTAGACAGACAAAACTTGCTCCTCTATCAGGGCCTTCACAGCTGTGGTCCCCTCTGCCTAGAAGGTTCTTTTCCCAGATCTGCACATAGCTTGCCCTTGACTTCCTTCCAGTCTCTGCCCAGTGTTACTTTATCAAAGCAGTCTTCCCTGACTACCGCATACAGAATGCACACACGCACCTGCATTCCTTATTCCCTTGACCCCCTTTAACTTTCTCCATAGAATTTACCATAGTCCAAAATGTTGGTATTCTTTATTTGGTGTGTATGTCTCCTCCCTGGAAAACAAGAACCAGGGGGCTGTGATTGTGTCTCATTCATGAACTGCTCTTTCCCCAGCACCTAGGATAGTGCTGACCGGTAGTGGTCATTCAATAAATATTTATTGAAAGAAAAGTTAGTTTTTAATATGAAGGAATTGAATGAAGCTCACGGAGTCAGATCTCATTATTCCATGTCTGCCCAATTGGGGATGAGAGGTGGAGGGAATGGAGAGCAGGTCTGCATCTCCTAGAACATCCAAATGATCATTGAAGGAATTCTTTGAGGTTAAAACTATATTTATTGAAAGGAAGAGTGGATGGGAGGAGGGAAAAGAAGAAAGAAGGGACAGAGGAATGGAAGGAGGAAAGAAGGGAGGAACCTTCATCGCCTCCATGACCCCTAGTCTAATTAGCAGTTTAGCCATACCCTGGGATTAGGAATGCCTCATGGAATAATAAAAGGAACGCAAACCCATGAGTTTTGCCTGCTGCTACCATTCACCTTGGCAGAAGTGCGCCTTATCTTCAAGACTGTTGTTCATTTCAGGGATTGAGGAATTCACTCTCCCGGAAGCCCAGCTCTTTGAGCTTTGGCTTTAGAAGACCACTGGGGCTACGTTTGTATCCTCTTTCTCTCACTGCCCTACTCAAAGTAGGTCCGTTTCCAGGAAAGTGTTTGAGCTAGAAGGTTCGTATTATAAGGATGATAAATCGCAAGCCAGCCTGATCTGTTCCTCTGTGTTGGAATTGTGCAGTCAAATGAGAGAACAGGGTCTTAATAAGATTAAAATATCTCTGGCTTCCGGTCTCGTGGATCCCTGGTCATTGTGTCTATGGGAACTTGGTCTTGGGTTCTCTGTACACTCTCCACTGTGCAGCACACCCTCCGAACTAGCTACACACATCAAGAACAAAGGTGCTTTCCAACCAAGCACGCTTATTACTCTTCTCCCTCTTCTGAGGAGACAAGGCATAAACACGGAAGCAAGCAAGCCAAGAAAGACAGATAGCATTCAACAAAAGGGACTTTTAAATCTCAGATGTCTTGTGATGAATAATAATAGCCACACTGTGTTAGTCTCACTATATTCCTAGCATATTCTAATCACTTTACATGAATTAAGTCATTTGATCCTTACAACGTCATGCTGTAGGTACTCTTGTCTTCCCCGCTTTACAGATGAAGATACAGACCATAAGAACAAGGAATATTAGCTGTGGGAGATCTGGTCTGGGATGGCTTCCTGGAAGAGGTGGAACACGAACTGCATTGCAGAGTGAGTAGGACTTATAACTGGGCAGTAGCCCAGAAGGCATTCCAAGTAAAGAGAACTGACTGAGAAAGATTGCAAAATGTGTTTGCGGGGCAATGACGAGAAGAAAGGTGGAGATCTGTGGCCGCTGCATCATTGCTACAAACGGGGGACCTCAATCACAGGAAACCAACTGTAGTTCGTCCAGAGGTTCTTTAGAGATTCCTCCCCTGTGCCAGTGCCCATGGGGCTCTTAGCTCTCAGCAAGTGTTCAGCAGAAACTCTTGATTCTATTTGAGTTAAACAGATGCTGCTGAGAAAATAATGCCAACATAGGGAGTGCACAAAAGACAGGCATGGCTTACCTTTTTGCAGAAAGAAACCACTTACCCAGACAGGTACTGTAACTATAGACTGTGTTTCATCGTCCTAACCTAACACCGTGAAAGTCTAATTCCTCCACCTCTGAGAAAAGGGAGGGCCTCCAACAGACTTTTTTCTTTCCATCATGAATTTTCTTTAAAAGTCTTTGTTTAGTGCCTATTAAAAGCCTAAAAAATTAAGTTTGCTTATAAGCAAAGAAAAACATTTTTAATATGTCCAAGTATTGACTGTCTTACCTTAAAAGGTAAGAGCTATATCGCTTTAACAGTGCAGATTGCTGTTTGGATCATATTTTTAGGTCTCTTGGCAGTACAAATGATTACACTAACCTCAGAGTGAATTGTCTGGCTGATTTATTTTTCAGCATGCTCAGAAGAGGTTCTATACTGTATCCAAGTTTTTATTTATATTTTTCTTACAAAAATTCTTGACTAGACTCTTCATCTATGATAATATAGCTTAGAATTATATATTCCTTTCAATCATGCAATAAGTCAACATTTAGCACTGTTATGTGCCTATCACTCTGTTAATTACAATAAAACAAAACAGCAAAGTATAACACCAGATGTTCAGCCTTCAAAGAATTTGTAGTCTTTTCAGGAAGACAGGAGTGCCATAAGTGCAGAAATTTGACAATAATGCGAGGCATTATTGAATACTAAACTGCTTGCTACATACCGTAAGTAGTAAAGTCATTAAAATCTTTAGAGAAGTTCAATAGTCAATTCATGTCCAAAAGGAATAATTTTTCTTTGATTTTTAAAGTTGTCTTACAAACCTTTGTCCTTTGAGTATGAAAGTGATTTTTAGATTTGAGACTTGCTTGCCAGCAAATACAATGAACAAAGTTAGATGATCGAATTGGTGACTATTTTTGGTCCCAGAGTGGTAGGATTCTGAATTCATGGTTATGAGTTCCATGTGTAGCTTTCACATTGACTGTATCTGATGCACATTGGTGGGGAGGAAGCCAGATGTCAGGCTAGGGAGATGGAGGGAGGAGTCTGTAGGGGGCAAGGACAGCCTGGCAGAGTGGGAACTTACATGGGGCCTTTAGAGACATTATTTCCAATAACTAGCTGAGTAATTCTTTTTCAGATGGACTTTGTGTAGAACTTCATGTAATGCAATGTTATTGGTCTATTATGAAATATGCCTGGTGCTTTTCATGCAGCTGAGCACAAATATAAATTCTACTCTATTCATTTATCACAAGATTTTTTTTTTTTTTTTGCTTTTAATTAGATCAGTGATTTGATGGACTCCTCTGCCTTGCTTAAAAAGCATGACAGTAAAGTAATAGGATGGTTTTCTTTTTACTTGTTAATCCAAATGAGTGTTGTCACCCTCACGTTGTGGATATTTGTTTAAATCCCAATGCCATCGCTTAAAATATGAAAATATGACACTTTCTTTATTTCCTGTTAACTGATCACATCTTACTCCAGAGGCCTAGTCCCTTGAGTGGTAGGGGTTAGGGATGGCAGGAATCTGTCTAGCTCAGCTCTTCTATCCAGCCCTTCTGGTTGTAAACAATCTCTTTCAGGTTACACTTACTATACTTGGTCCCTTTGGGGTCAATATTCTGTCAAATCTAAGCTGAAAATTCCCTGCAAAGGCCCCCCTCTTCCCCGCAAAGATGGTTCTGTGTAGGAGCATGTAATGTGTCACTGAGACAGGTGTGGTTGCTGTGGCTCACAGTCTCTGATGCCCTGGTGACTCCAGTCCCTGCAGTCCACGGCTGGCGACCTCTCCACTTGCTCTCTGCTTCCCACTGGCGTGGCTCCTAGTGCACAACCACCTGTGCTGCAAAATCTTCTGTTGCATGAAGTGACCACCAGCTCTGAACAGCCAGTCGCCTTCTGTTGGCCCTCTGCTACCTCGAGGGAGCACAGGAATTTTTCCGGATCTTGCTGTGTCCTACTTATCTTAGGCAGACTTGAGGAGCCATCTCAGGCCTTCGCTGCTTAGAATCTGTCCTCGAGGAGCGCCTGGGTGGCTAGGCCGGTTAAGTCTTGACTCTTGATTTCAGCTCAGCTCATGATCTAACAGTTGGTGGGATCAAGCCCCACATCGGGCTCTGCACTGGCAGTGTGGAATCTGCTTGGGATTCTCTCTCTCTCTCTCCCTCTCTCTCTCTCTCTGCCCCTTCTCTGCCCTCTCTCACCCTCAAAATTAATTAGTTAAAAATAAAATTAATTAATAATAAAGAATCCATCCTCAGCCACTTCCAACCTCCGGCTGACTGGCACTATGATTCTCCAGAAGGCTTAATACCTCCTGCATCTGTTCCAAGGAAGGATGAACAAACCCTACCGTTCTGAGAATGCCCTTGTGTTAGTCATTGCAGGCTGCCATACCAAAATACTACAGACTGGTGGCTTAAACAACAAGCATTTATTTGTCACAGTTCTGAAGGCTGGGAAGTCCAAGGTCAAGACATCGGCAGATCCAGTGTCTGATGATAGCTTGCTTCCTCATCTGTATCCTTAATGGCTCTTTGGTGGGGCAGGGGTGAAAGAGAAGGAGAGGATGCGAGAGAGAGGGAGAGATATTGATCCAGTCTTCTCCTCTTCAGCCCGAAGAAGCCTCAAATTATCCAGTGGTTCCAAACTTCCCTGAACAGTAGTGTTTAGACCTGGAGTGGGAGAGCCAAGACTAATGTTTCTCATAACCTGCCTTTTTTTCTCTCTTTCTCTATCTTCCAACTCAGCCCCCGTGAACCTAAAATGCGTTCTTTGTCGACGTTAACAAAACAGCTAACGGCAAAGAAACTAGAAGGCCAAGATAATAATTCAGGGAAATAATTCAAACTATACCATCTTCATTATGCGCCTTTGGGCCTTATATTTCTGAATTTCCCTTTGTGTTGTCAGTTTCTTGAAGGGCACGTATCTTCATCCTTTGAAGACTGATTTGATTTTTAGAGACAGCCAGAAGCATTCCAATGCAAACATGGTGAATAAAACGGATGAGATATTTGATCTCATCATAGACAAAGGCATTGATAGGAAGGAAGAAAAGGAACCACAAGGCAAAGACAGAGACAGAAAGCAGCTGGGGAGTTAATCTGGTATATGGGACAAAAATGCACTGAAAACAGTCAGGAGCTGGTAACACCTGCCCTTTCCCGTCCATTCTCTTGAAAGCCTACCTAACTTAAGTATGCAGTCCAGTGGTACGTTTCAATGAGAGGGCAGCAAAAAACAAACATTCAGTGACCAACAAGCTATTGCTTACATTTCAACTCCTATGCATTGACACAACTTATGAAAACATAGCTTTTAGCTTATCCTTAAGGATAAATGTATTTAAAACCAAAAGTTGCACTGCATAGCTATTCCCAAAGGCTGACCTCTGTGATATCATTGGCCACCTAAAGGCTCTGTTGGAAACTGTGCAGTATTTTCTCTATTTTTTACAAATTGTAATAGACCATTTGTATAGATAGAGTGAATAGAGAAAAAATTTAAGTCAGATACTCACCAGTTGCTTTCATGTGATTTTTCAGCTACCTCTTACTCAGCCACGTAGCTACAGAGTTGAATCTCTGGCCAAACTTAATTCCTCATTTCCAAAATCCTTGTCAATTCACAATGTTAAGCTGGCACTCTCCTCATTTTAGAGGTCATTGTCTGGTGTTAATGTGTAAGAGTCGAAATCGATGTAGAAGTGATATCCTTTTTCCTCCCTTCTTAACAATGTCATTAGTCCTTGTTCAATGGGCATGTCACATACCTTCCTGTCTTCTTAGAGAAAAATATTGCTCAAGCTTTGCAAAGTACTTTAAACTAATTTTTTGAAGATCAGCCAAAAACTGAACTATGAAGATAGAGAGTCAGCTCTCCAGTAAAAAATTTTAGCACAATAAAGATTCCCAAGGTCGTGGTAATAGAATATGTAAGAAAATATTAGAGTTTGAAGTATAATCTTCCAGCTCTGCAAATTACTAGCTTTCCGACATAAGGTCAATTACTGAACCTCTTTGTACCTCAGTTTTCACTTCTATAAAGAATGGATAATAAGATCTATACTCCTCGGCTCCCAGAGCTCTTAACTGGTTCAGTATGAGACTTACCTGGTAGAAGAAACACATCACCAGCTGGCTGCTTTTCTCTTTATGCAGGGAGGTGAAGCAAGAAATTATCCCACCTGGGGAAGATGTGGTGCCAAAAGTATGGCAATGCAAACTCTTACAAAGAGCAGGAATATGGAGAGTGGAAGAAGCATGGGTCTTGGTCTAGAACTTACCTGGGGATGAATGTGATCTCAGGCACATGACCTGAGTGTGCTCTGAGCCTATCATCATTATCCATAAGATGCAGCAAAGACCTAGCATTTAGTGATGAAATCAAATACACTTTTACAGTGCCAGGTACACGTAAGCTGGAATGCAAAAGAATTATTTGTAGAGATGAGGAAAGTAGAATACAATGAATTTACATAACCTGCCCAAATTTATATTATTTGCAGGAGGCAACACTAGACCATAAACACTGATCTTATGAGTCTATAATACTTTTTCTATAATGAAGTAAATTTTATTTGGGTCAAACCTCTCTGAGGATCTGTCACACCTATGAACTCATTCCCCCCAAACATGCACATCCATGGACCTTCTAAGGGACCATGGACCTAGATTAAGACCCCCTGTACTATAAACTGTGGTCTCTCCTAAATACTTCCAGTGAATTTACCAAATTCTTAGATCATTTCATCCTTATATCAAAAGACTAGGGTAGATTACTTGGTGCTAAAGATGTATGGAAAGCCTTTAAGTGATATTGGAAATATTAAATCTTTCCTCAGACTGTCATGGTGTATGGGTTGGGAGGGAGACTCTCCTGAAGGCTGTGTGGACAAGGAAGTCTTCTCTGAGAAGTTGGCATTTGAGCTGTGACCAAAAGAATGAGAAGGAGCAGCCTGGAGAAGATCTGGAAAACAAGTGCTCCATGCATGGGTAACAGCCCATACAAAGACCCCAAAATGGAAATGAACTTGTGCACCACTATCACTATGCTGGGAATGGGCTAACCAAGAGGGCAAGTGACATGAGGTGAGACTGGAGAGGCAGGTAGATGGTGTCAGTCCCTAGAGTCTTGTAGACCAAGGTAAAGAGTTTGGCTTTTATTCTACACGCGATGGAAAACACTGGAGAGGTTAGGAGAGTGACTTAATCTGATTCATGATTTTAAACGATTATTTGGGCTGCTGGGTGGAAATGAGTCATCAGGGGGCAGGAGTAGAAAAAGAGAGATGCATAATCCAGGAAAAGGATGATGCTGGCTTTGCTCAGGGTGGTAATGATGAAAAAAGGTAACACATCTGGGATATGGTTTTTGGAGGTTATGGTTCTCAGACTAGCCAGCGAGTAGGTAAAAGAAAGAGTAAAGTTAAGGATGATACCTAAGCTTTTGCCAGAGCAACTGGGATTTAAGGTTAAAATATTTCTCGAAGCACAGGAGCCTGGAACAGGAGGATTCGGGGAGGAGTGGGGGAGCAAGCAATGAGCAGTAATGATCAGCCCTGTTAAGTGGGCAGTTAGATATATGAGTTAAGAGCTCCAGGGAAAGATCCTGGCTAAAGATGCAAATTTAATGTTATTTCTATCTAGATGGTGTACAAAATAATATGATTGCATAAAATTAGCTCTAGACGCATGTAAACAGAAAGAATAGAAGATGACACAGACATAGCCTGGGAGAAGTCCAACATTAGAAGTCCAACAGCAGAACTAGAGCCAGCAATGGGACTGAGAAAGACCAGGTAGAAAGGTAGGACGAAAACCAGGAAAGGGTTGTGTCACAGAAGTCAAGGGAACAAAAGTATTTCAAGAAGAACAAAATGATGAGCTGTGTCAAATGCTCCCAGGATGTTGTAGCAGAGACTGCTAATTGTCCCCTATAACCAGTTTCTCCATTGTTCTTTGAGTAACAGGAACCACTGAGTTCTAACTGGGCACATGGCCACCCATACAGAGACTGCATTCACCAGTTTCCTTTGCAGCTAACCGTGGCCTTGTGTCTAAGTTCCAGTTGCGAGAAAAAAAGCATTTATGCAAGCTGCTAGATTTGGTCTTAAAATATCAAGTGTGCATTCCTCCATTCTCTTTTCCTGGTTCTCATAACTGGAATGTGGACATGGAAGTGACCCAGCTTTCATCATGCACGTGAAGACAGCGCTCTAAGGAATGTCAGAGAACGTG